CAGGGTGACCTTGAGACCCCCAAAAAGTCCTGGGAGACAGATAGGGAAGTCTTCTTTCCTCGAAGGCTCACAGTCCTGGTGTTCAGAAGCTACTGATGAAGCTGTAGGCCCAACTGGGCATCAGAGACAAGTATGAAACAGCCTTTAAAAGTCTGTAGGGCACCAGGTGAGGTGATGCACACCTGTAATCCTAGCATACAAGAGGCTGAGGCCAGAGGATTACTGTGAGTTCAATGACAGCCTGGATTATATAGAGAGTTTAAGATCAGCCTGAAGAACATAGCAAGACCCTGCCTCAAAAAACCAAAGAAGTCTATAGGGGACAGATATGCAGACTTATATGGATGGATTAAAATGACAGTAGCTTATTTTCTTTCTATATAAAAGCAGAACTTTCAGTGTCATGTGATAGGAAGAGTGGGAAAAACCCGCCCTTTTTATTAGGTGCAAATTTTATCTGACACTGCATGTATGCTTAAAGTGTTTTTTGCTGAGTGTGTTAATACACACCTGTGACCCCAACTATGAGCCACACACTGGCCACACCATCCCATTCTGCCTCACTCAGTCCTAGCTTTCCAGGTGCCACTGTGTGTCCTTTTACCTCTCTGCTTTGGCCACCAGTCCCTCTCCTGGCTTGGCCTCCTCCATCCAAGTCCCACATGCTGCCAAAGTCCTAGCCTCCTGCTCTTCTCTCTTTCCATCCTTGCCTTAGGTAACTGTCACAGGTTAAGTTGTGCTCCCCCAAAAGATGTGCTGAAGTGCTAATCCTGAGACATCACAATGTGACCTCATACTGGAAATGAGGCTGTTGTCGGTGCACTTAGTTGAAATGAGGCCATCCTGGAGTAGGAGGGCCCTGCTCCAATGTGACTGGGGCTGGCCCTGGCCACTCTACCTCACCTGGGGCTTCCTATCTGCACCTTCTTTCCTGCAATTGCACCTCCTCCACAGCAGCTACTTGCTCCAAGCCTTTGGAGCCTCCCTACCACACTGAATGTGTAGCCTGGGACTTGTACCATCAGGACCCTGGCCAGCTCTCCACCATCACTTCAAACTGCTCTTTCAGCTCAACAGGCCCTGGTCCCAGTGGTTTCCTTCTGACTTCTGGGGTACCCAAAGTGCCTTCTGGACCTGTTGTCTTCATGTGACATTGCTGCTTCTGCTCAGATGCACTCCCTGTGGCTCTCAAATGGCAGCATCCTTCTAATCCTTCACATCTCAGCTTAATTGTCACTGCCACAGATGGGCGGGCCTCCCCTGACACCAGTTAGTCTCCATCTACAGTGCCATAAATGTCACTTTACAGCACTTTCCCAATAACCTGCTCACTGTCTGTCTCCCCCTACCAAGTCCATGAGGGCAGCATAGTGCTTGGCATTTAGTAGCCACTTAATCAACACATATTTGTTCACCGAGTAAGCCTTGATTAGATATAAGAAAGTGCTAAAATATGTGACTCAGTCTGGTAGTTCCAAGGCAGCACAGACAACAAAACCAAGGCCTGGGCAGCGGGGTGGGATGCAGAGGAGCAGGTGCAGAGGCCTGGAGGGCTGTGTGTCCCAGCCCTTAGGCTCCTGCACAGGTACCTACTCATGGTTGGTTCACAGAATTCCAGCAAAAGAAAGTAGAAGCAGTGGGGCTGGAAGTGGCACAAGGTCACATCGGGTCAGGGCTTGGGACTGCAGAGATTCAGGGGAAGCCTTTTATTTGGTGGCCACAGTCACTACACCCTCCGGAGCCTATCTTCTAGCTCTACCCTGAAGCCGTCATACTGCTCAGCTATCTGTGCTCCTAGCTAAGCACCCCTCCACCCAGGCTTTTGCTGTAGCCCTTCTATGCTCTTGCCATTGGTTTAGCCCTTTCTCAGCCACTTTGATCCCTTTGCTGTCCCTTAAGGATGTACGCTTTTTCCCTGCATGGATGAGACATTTCTGATGCAGCCTCTTTCCTCCCTCCCTCCTTCTTTCCATTCTTTTTTTTTTTCTTCCTTCCGTTCTTTACTCAAACATGCTGCCCACTTCCTCTGTGCTAGCTGCACCACATGACAAAGATGCAAACATGAGGGACATGCTCACACCAGATTGCTCTGATGAATATTAACTGAACACCTACTGGTCCCATGGAACTAGCTTAAGAATTTCATTACTATTTTGGGACATCAAAAATACTTTTTTTCTTTTTGATTTTTTGAGACAGAATCTCAATATGTAGTTCAGGCTGCCCATATTTGAGGAGATTGAGAGGACAGTGCGTGGTGAAGAGGAATAATCCCTTGGGCTGCCCACCAGAGGGGCAGCCGGAGGCAGCAGAGATGGAGGGATGGATGGGATTTTGGTTTTTGTTTTTATTTGTTCTTATATTCTGCTTTGTTTTCTAAAATGGGAGCTGCTGGAGTGTACTGTGTGCTTGTGTTAACTACTTTCTTCAGGTCTGTATGTATTGTGCACATTTTGTGTTTAATTGTAGTTGTTCCATGCTTTAGTGTCATTTTCCCAGCTTTGGAGGCCCTTTGTTAACAGGATTGTTCTTCTGTTTCTTTTGCATTTGAGTATTTGCCCTTGTGGTCAGAGCAAGAAAAATACTCTGCTGTGCCTACATCCCACGGCAGCATGAATTTTATTTTACTGGTGCACTAAGAGCAGCTTTTGTGTGCAGTGTCAGTTGTTGAAACCTGTATCTGATGTTTCTTGCTGAAGAACATCACCAAAGTGCTCATGTGATAGTCTCAGTTGTTGGGTTTTTCTGTGCACAGCATCAGGGAACAGAAACTAGAAAGCGAGGTGTCCATAGGTTAGAAGCCGCCTGCTTGGCATTTGTGAGATTTGATTGGTTATCTGGATAGAAAGGCAGGTCCCAAGGAACTACAGCTGCCTGTTCCTAAGGCTGTCCTGGAAGCTCCAGTGTTACACGTCCCAACTTCAGAGCTACAGCGAAGCTTGCAGAAGCAGCCAGGCCAAGCACTCCTCTCACTCAGAGAGCAGGCTGACTCCACACTCTCTACCAGGGGAAGGTGGAAGGAAAGCAGATCCTGACACCATCGTATCCTTTGTAATGTCCTTGTCTCACATCCTTCCTTTCCTAGGGAATGTGGTTTTTTAAGTACACTGAGTCCATTCCTAGAGACCACTAGAGGCAATCTGGTGCTAATGTCATTGCTTACATGCTAAGATGAAGGAATCTGGGAGCCCTGGGATGAGAGCCACAGGGGCCCAGGTGACCCAGGCAGGTGGTGGGATGGAGGCCACAGGACCCAGAGGGTGCAGCAGGAACACCAGAGGCAAAAGCAGCTGCCATGGCTCACATGCACCTTCACTGAGGGAGATAAAGGCCCCAGAGAGGGTGTGGCCCAGGAGAGCTCTAACAGCTGTCCCCAGCAGAGAGGCAGGGATGACAGGGGCCCCTGTAAAGAGCACTGAGTTGCCTTGCTCCCCATCCCCAGCAGTGACTCCCTTCTTTATTAGGCAGCTTCCCATCACTGTAGTAAAATACCTGAAATCATAAACTGCTGACCAGAAAGGGTTATTTTGCCTGATAGTTCTGGAAGTTCTGGTCCCTGATCCATTTGCCCCATTATTTTGGCCCCATGGTAAGCACATAATGGTGGGAATGAAAGGTCATACAAAACCACTTCCATCATAAGACAGGGAGCAAAAAAGAAAGAGACAGGGGCTGGGGTCCCACAGTCATCTGCAAGGGCATGACACCAATGACACAGGACCACCCCGCCTCCCAGAAGATCCACTGCATCCTGACAGCATCCCCTGGGGACCAGGCCTTTACTGAGTGTGCCTTTGGGGACTTTCAACATCCAAACCACGTCACTGCCCCCAAAGCCCAGGTGGCCACTGTGGCCCCCCCAGAAGCACTGTGATTAGCTCCATTGTACATCTGAAAAATCAAAACTTTGGAACAAGATGTTTGGGGATTTTGTTTTTGTTTTTTTTAATACTCTTTATAGAGAAGAGATTGGCATTGAGAGCAGACAAAGTAGGGAGGTAGAGGCTGCTTTTGAGCAGAGAGAATTCATCTAGAAGATCCAGGCCATTCCGGCACCCTGCCAGCCAGGTGTAGGGTGACCCAGGTGAAGGATCCCACTGTTTCAAAAAAGAAAGTGTTCATATCCCAAACTTTGAACCTGGTTTTCTCCAAAATGTACTCACATTTAGTCATATAAGTGCTCAGAAAAGGGGATGGGCTCTGTGGTCTCCAGTGTTGTTACCAACTACATGTGCAGTTTTCTCTTTGAGTTTAGAAGGTTTTCTTTGGAATCTCCAGCATGTCACCTTGTCTGTCAAATGAACATTAGTCCTGCGATCAGGATTGGATTGTTTGTAGACTTTGTAATGGAATTCTGGTTGATTCCCAGAGGTTTTATTCATGAACAGGGTTCTCATTATAACATTAGAGGGCCTTTATAAAGATTAACTTTTTTGAAGCTAATGAAAATGGTGTTTCCTTGGGAGAGTGTGATATAAATTCTTAAGAAAAGGATCATTGGCATAAATGAATATTGAATTTGATCCCATTATTTTGGTTGGGGACAGCTTGTTTTACATATTTCTGAAAGTAGAATATTTGTGTTTCAGAATCCCTTTGTAAAAACCAGGTATTCTCAAAAGATTTCCAGATCTTCCGCTGCAAAATCTACTCTCCAGTATCCCTAATGTGGCTGTCAGCTCATCTAGCTGGAGGGTGATGCTGATAAAGTCAGTAGATGTGGTTCTCTGTAGGTCTGGTCCACAGCCACCCACCTGCCTTGCATCCCACCACCAGCTAACCACACCCTCCTCTCGTGGAAGGCCAAGCCAAAGGGTGGAAGTCATCCCCTCAGAGCACAGGCCTTTACCACATGGGCTTCTGGGGCACATGGGACATCCAGCCTACAGCACTGTGAGGCAGAGACATAATGGTACCCAAGTTGGAAAGACAGAACTCGCACAAAAGCAATTGCCTGCATTGTCACACTGCTAATGGTTCCTTCCGCTCTTCCTCTCCAGGGCCCCTGAGATCATCCTGGGTTTACCATTCTGTGAGGCGATTGATATGTGGTCCCTGGGCTGTGTCATTGCAGAGCTGTTCCTGGGCTGGCCGTTATATCCAGGAGCTTCAGAGTATGATCAGGTGGGTCCAGATGATGCACGGATTTGCAGCAAGACCTTGTTCTCTCTGGAAAATATCCTGGATTAGCATTTCATTTAGAACCCTGCCTATGCATTCAATTATGGCCTGTCATTGTTCCCTCAACCTTGCTTCCCTGAACTTTGCATTGCTCTATCTTCTTCCTTTTTCTTTTTACTTCCTTCTTTCCCCACAAAAGTGTTGTTTCCTTTTTTCTCAAAGCCACTAGAGCCATGAGAATGCCATATGTACAGTGACAGGAAAAGCCCTGACCTCCTTCTTGTCTTCTCTTCTTGCAGATCCGGTATATTTCACAAACACAGGGTTTGCCAGCTGAATATTTATTAAGCGCAGGGACAAAGACAACCAGATTTTTCAACCGTGACACAGACTCGCCATATCCTTTGTGGAGACTGAAGGTAGGCGGGCACCCTCCCTTCCTCCCTCCCTCTCCAGCAGCCCAGCACTCAGGGAAGAGGGGCACAGTCCCATTACTGGGAGTAACTTCAGCGGCTGATCCTGGGTCTCAATTTGACTAGGTCAACAAAAAAAGGGGTGTGGGGTTCAGTTAATGTGTGGCTAAATTTGAATGTTCAAAAGCACCTTTGTTCTTAGCCCACAGCTACCTGAGAAGCTCAAGTCCTAGGTTAAAACTGCCATAGTCCCTGTGTTGAAATCCCTGTGTTGAACCTGGATGGCTGATCTGTGCAGGGAAGGAAATGAACACACCTCGCCTTTGAGAAGCTCACAGTCCAGGGAGCAGACAGGACCCTGGCCCACCCTACCAAGTGCCCTCTTCCCAGGAGGAAAGGACATGGGTGCCAGTGGGTGGCGCATTCGCCATCACCTGTGACTGGGGGCCAGGGAGGAGCATTGGTGCTGGCACCTTGGCTCTCCCAGGATAGAAGTGAGCCTTGCCCCTGTCTGACCTCCCCTCACCAGTGAAGGACACTGACAACCTGACCTTGGCATCACCCTGTCAGCTGCCAAACACCAGGTCTCCCATCAGCAGCCTAAGATGCCTGCTGAGCTCCCAAACCTCTTTTCTCAGTCTGTTAATGACTGCTGGCCACTTACTTGTCTTTAAACTTAAAGATATTAAACTCTGGCTGAGGTTTCTGTCCACACAACACCCACCCACCCTCTTGCAAAAGAAGAAACAGATGAATGAAAACATACTTAAGATTTCCATTATTTCTCTTTCTTAGAAAAATACATTAATTACTAAGCGCAGATCAAAGTGAAATCAAACCATGTTTCCCTTAAGGTAAAACCACCTGAGGGCATATGGTGGAGAGCAGTGCATTCCTCCACTTGGGGCCTGGGATGCTGCGGTGCCAAGGCAGTTTCCAGGCCTGGAGAACCAGTGTCCTTGAGTGGAGAAGGGGAGGCCAGGCAGAGGCAAGGCTCACATCTTTGCTTTCCAAAGTGCCTTGTGCCATGTGTCCAGCTGTTCTCAGGAGTAAAGCTCCTCAGGTATGCTGTCCTTGAGTGATATTTTGAGGATTAATTACCGCTGATCCATGGACAAATCTAGAAACCCACTGCAATTGGAAATAGCAGTTTCACAGCCAGCAGGGACAATGGATGTCTCTGCCAGCCCAGGTGGAGGGGCAGTGTAAAACATAGGCACCACAGCCAGATAGATGCCACTTGTCAGCCAGGTAACCTTGACAAGTTTCCTAAGCTCTCTGTTTTCCCACCTAGAAAATGGATATAGCAGTCATCCTCCTTAGCATGATCATGAGGCATTAACAAGTTAGTGTGCTTCGAAACAGCATCATGCATATATATATATATATATGTATATATATATATATAACTATGTTTAGAAGGGCTCATTAAATAAAACTTTGAAACTCCTGCTTTTTTCCATAATGGACTCTTACCCTACATTTACGAAAGGCTTCAGGGTTATCAGGGACGTGACATATCTTACTCATCTTAAAACCTTCTGTGATTCCGAGCAGGGCACGAATGTAGGTGCTCATGGGAAGGGAGCAGGATGAGTTAGTGTAGATGAATAAAGAGGAGAATCAGTGTGATGTTCACTTTAAAAAGAATCAAAGTCTATAAGGTGGCAAAGAACCTCCATGAGCAACAGGGGCTCTCAGATTGGAGTCGGTGCCCTGGAGCTAAGTCACATTATCAATCAGCTTTTGCCTCTCTTGGCAGACACCAGATGACCATGAAGCAGAGACGGGGATTAAGTCAAAAGAAGCAAGAAAGTACATTTTCAACTGTTTAGATGATATGGCCCAGGTAAGCACCATGGGTGAGTGTACAGTGTAAGTTCTTCCAAACCCAAGTGCAGCAAGATTGTGCAAGCATGATGGCCAGGAGCAGGTAGAGATCTCATTACCCAACTGCGACCATCAGCATGGACCTTGCACACTTATGTGCTAGGCTCAGTAAGAATGAATTGTGAGGCATCTTAAAAACCTTACCCCAGCTCCTTAAAAATAGTTTCATTTTATTAGTTCCTGTTTGTAAAGTCGTACTGGCCAGTTTTGCTGATGTTTTCATGGGAGGAATTCTACCCCATTAGTATATTTGAGTTTAATGCTGTATTCATTTCCTAGGAATATATCAGGGTACAGCAAACTGAATGGCTTGAAACGGTAGAATTATGTTCTGGATGTTGAAAGTATACAAAAAAGGCATCTCCAGGCCCTAGGAAGACTGTCCTGTCTCTGGCCCTGGCTTGTGACCCCTGGTTGTCCTCAGCATTCCTCCTGTATATGGCCTTGGTCCCTGTGTCATCTCTGTCTCAGTGTCCAGATCTCTTTTCTTAAAAAGGCACTAAGGGGGCCGGGGATTTAGCTCAGTGGTTTCGCCACCTGCTGTGCAAACGCAAGGACCTGAGTTCGATCCCCAGTACCAAAAAATAAAATAAAAAGACACTAACTACTGGATGTGGGGCCCACCCTAATCCCGTATGACCTCAATTTATTTTATCTACAAAGACCCAATTTCCAAGTAGGTCATATTCTCAGCTACCAGGAATCAGGACTTGAACATATCTTTAGGGGGAGGGGCACATTTCAACCCACTACATTCACTCTTTCTTAGCCTCTAGAGGGAACACAGACTCACCTTTGTGCCCCAGAGAAAATTCTAGAGCTTCAGCTACTTTTAGTGTAAAGAGTAGTCTAAAATCAGGGCAACCCAAGTGTGTTTTTCTTTAAAGCGATGAGAAATAAAGCTATAGCCTAATAAACACTTAGCACACCTCTTACTGTAGATGAGTGTAACCAAAAATCCTAATTCTGACTAAAGCACACTTGTCAGTTGATTAGTAGCTTAGATTGTCTGAGAAAACTGAAATTGCTTTCCAAGGCATGTCTTGGAATAAATAGCACCACAAAAAAAGCCTTTTAAAGGCCATCCTCCTATAGCCTTGCTCTTAAAAATCTTGTGTTCAGATGCCCTGCTTGCCTTGGCCAGAGGTGACTGCAGTGAACACGGGGATTGCAGTAATTCTGGCCTCACTCAGGGAACCAGGAGCAGGGTGACCGAGTGTGGGTAGAGGAGGAGAGCACTCAGGCCCCTCCGTTTCCCTCAGAGACAACACAAACCTTCTATGCATCTTTTTTCTGCCTCATTGTGATTTTTTTTTTAATTGTGGTAAAACACAAATCCCATAAAATTTTCCATCCTCACCTTTTTAACATGTACAGTAGAATTAAGTACATGCTTATTGTTATGCAGCCAGTCTCCAGAACTCCTTTCATCTTGTGGTTGTTTTTAAAGAAGTGTGAAGAGAGGTGCGTGTCAGCTTGACTGATGAAGGCAGGAGCCGTTTATAGCCTGTGCCAACCACAGCAGCCCTCTCCCCTGCCCCTTCCTGGTGCCTAGCCTCCTCTGTGCACCCTGTGGGCTCCAGCAGCATGTGGGTGGTGCCCTCCAAAGGGACAGAACACAGCCTTCCAGGGAGGTGAGGGGACTTCAGAGATCCTCAGCCCTGCTCAGGAGATGCAGGGCTGAGGATAAGGGAGCTGGGAAAGGCAAGGTATGCTGGGGCCCTTGTCACCTGTCCCTGCTTGCTTCCAGGTGAACATGACGACAGATTTGGAAGGGAGTGACATGCTGGTGGAGAAGGCAGACCGGCGAGAGTTCATCGACCTGTTGAAGAAGATGCTGACCATAGATGCTGATAAGAGAATCACTCCGATCGAAACCCTGAATCACCCTTTTGTCACCATGACACACTTGCTTGATTTTCCACACAGTACACAGTAGGTGTCCTGCTCAATCTTTCATGCCAGCGAACAGACTTTTTCTTTAAAGGCCTAGATAGTAAATGTATTAGGCTTTTTGGCTACCTGGTTTCTATTGTAGATACCCAGCTCTTAGAGCCGAAAGCAACCAGAGAGGCGATACATAAATGAATACCTGAAGCTGCATTCCAGTAACACATTTATAAAAACACATGGGGGCTGGGTTGGGGTCCTGGACTGCAATTTGCTATATACCAAAAAGGAGGGGAAGGGGAGCACGGGAGAGCATGAGGCTAGATGGACCAGACTCTGGTTTCTGTGCATGAAGAGGGGTGCCCCATGCCAGGGATTTAGCTCAGTGGTTCTGCCGCCTGCCTCGCACGCACAAGGACCCAAGTTCGATCCCTGGTACCAAAAAAAAAAAGAGGGGTGCCCCAAACACCAATGTCTTAGAGCAAAACTAGTTTCAGCACCAAAGGTTACTCTCAGAACACCCTGAGGTGGACCCAGTCTACTTCCTAGTTGGGTTTGATCATTTACTCAGTATGCTGTGTGATGTGCCAGAAACAAGCAGAAGGGCCCCTGCCCACTGACCTGATCTGTAGGAGAGCACAGGTATAACACATGGGGTACTCTGAGAGCAAATAACAAGCAGCCTCACTTGGTGAGCCAGGAAGACCCTGAGGAACTGATCCCTGAAGGGTGAAGAAGAGGATGGATATGAGTGGGCAGGGTCTGGGTGGACCTGTGTCTTGGGCAGGACCACACACCAGACCTGAGGGACATGGGCGAGAGTCCCAAGGCCACAGGAATAAGTCAAGGGCAAGCCCTGCATGGTGAGGATATGGGTCTATATCCAAAGAGCAATGGGAGATCATTAAAGGACTGGTAAGCAGGAGAAGGGCTGGCTAGCTGTGTGTTGAGCACAGATCTACCTGCTGCTGCTGCACAAGTAGTCCACAAAGGTGTTCATCAGACCTCTTGGAGGTAACTTAGTGACAGCTGTTTTGGTGCAGTGACAAAAGCAGAAACCCATTTAGCAGGTTGAAAGATCAAGTGAGAGGCACTGAAATAGAAAGCAATCTTTCAAGAAGTGAGGCTATGAAAGAGAAATAGAAGGCTGACTAGGGGAGAGACTAAGGAAATTTTTTTGAGGAACAAGGAGACTTAATTTCAGATACTGATGGGAAGAATCTATTAGCAAATGGGAGACTGAAGGAAAAGGATGCTCATGGCCGATTTCCTAAGATAGTGGGAGGGGCTGGATTAGAACACAGGTGGGCAGATAGGCAAATGTCACCAAAGATTGGCAGACCAAGAAATGAAGGTATCAGCTGGTAAGCTGGTTTAGTGGGCAAAAGTTGGAATTCCTTTCAGACAGCTTCTGTCTCTCCAAAGTAGGCAACAAGATTCTGTCGAGAAGGTGGCTCGTGGTTTAAGAAGGTAGAATATTTAGATAGCTGGGACAGAAGGTGACAGAGAAGACTGACCAGAGAAATTTGGTTGGGCTATTGAGTGCTGAGGTTGAACATGAAGAATTGATATTGTAACTGACCTCCTCAGGTGAAGGCAGAGAGAAAACAGACGGCTGGCCGCTGCCTGCCTTGTAATCGCAAGGTCCCAAGTTCGATCCCCAGTACCAAAAAAAAAAAAGTTGGGCTGGGGATTTAGCTCAGTGGTTCTGGTGCCTGCCTCGCAAGCTCAAGGTCCCGAGTTCGATCCCTGGTACCAAAATATATATAGAGAGAGAGAGACAGCTTGGTTTGTCTAGGTAGAATTTTGCCAGGCTGTTAAGAGAAAAAGACAAACAAATTAGGAAGTCAATTTTGCTGGCATTAGAGTGGGTGTAATCCAAAATGGCAGCCAGCGCCACAGAGAAAGGAAGTGAAGATGGGAGGGGTCCAAGTGAACTAAGTGCCTGGGTCAACTCCTGAGGTAGTTAGTGTAGGAACAGTTAAATGAGCCAGGTGGGTGGGAAATGTGGCTGAGCTTCTGGTTGTGGGAAGTGGAGTAGTTTGATGTCTGGGCAGTCCAGGGAACAGGTAGTGGGACTGAGGGCAAGGTCACTAGGAAGAGAGGTCAATGAGGAGCCAGCATGTTTAATGAGTCATCAGCACAGCCGCTGAAGTCTTCCTGGGTGGGCAGGGAATGGCTTAGAGAGGAAGACAGCCAGTGGCAAAGGCCTCAGTGAGTGAGAGGAGAAGTTTTTGGTGGGTAGAGATATCACTTCCACCCTCCACCTGAGGTACTGGGATATGAAAGAATGAAGAACCACATCCTTTGTGTGTGCTCAAGAGATCAACAGATTCTCTTAGATCTAGAGGCAAAGGAATACTGTGAGAAGAGCCTGGAGATCAGAGAGGTCTACAGACCACCGCTGGCCTTGCCATGGCCAGAATCAGATTGGGCCGAGTCTCCAGGCTGTACCCAAGCTTACCCAGCCTTGGAGAAGGGAATGGTAGCATCAGCCACTGGGTGTTTCCTCTGTTTCAGTTCTGTTCCTTCACAGTCGATGAAGCAAGTCAAATCACACTGCACAAGCGGGGCAGTGCCTCCTTAATTCAGAGCCACGTTTGAAACAACCAGGTTCCGATAGAGAGGCAGTCTGGAATGGACCCTTCCAAACCTGTTACAAAATCCATCCTGTTGCTAGTGTGCCACGAGCCAGTGAAGGCGCCACTGACAATTTAGAATTCAGAAAATAGGCTAAGAAGGAAAGGTGGGCCTCTAAGCAACCAGCCGCACTTACCTAAGACTCAGTCCCAGAACTTGGTGGGAAGATGATGGGCCTCCAGGCCACCCTCCTGCAGACTCGACCCTTGGAGCTGAGCCCCAACTGCTCAGGTGAAAGAGACCCACTCTTCATACCAGGATTCTAGCGCATGAATTAAGAATCAATCTCCTGGCGGGTGTGGTGGTACACATCTGTGATCCCAGCACTTGGGAGGCTGAGGCATGAGGATCACCAGGAGTTAGAGGCCAGCCTGCGCTACATAGTGAGACCCTGTCTCAAAAAATTAAAAAATTTAAAAAACAATCTAATTATAAAATGAAAGTGCTTGCCTCAGCCTGATAATCAAAGCTCAAACCATTTTAGCAGAAAGTTCTGACTCTGAAAGCTTTGCATTGAACTGTCACAAAACCGTTGACTGCTAATACACAGTGCATTGTTTTATGCCTGCACCCTCCACATGAAAGCACTTACAGTGGACTCAGTACTCAGTAGAAGCTTCAGACATATTGGCATTGGCAGCATTGTTAGCAAAACACTTCGCTGCTGTTATCACAAGTGTGTCCTCTCTTCTCTCTGGGGTCCGTAAATGTTTATTTAGCATGTATTATGTGACCAGTGCAAGAAGTCATTAATTTAGAAGTAGGATTCCCTAAATTCTAATTTTTTTGATACTTTGGAACACACTTTCCATGGAAAGAATGTTCAGGTATAACCTACAAATATCTGCTTAACCCACAATATAATGTACATAGTAGACATTTATAATCTTAATAGTATGAAAATATTACTTATAGTCAGTTACATTCTTTCTAATTAAAATACACTTATAAAATTGAAGATTACACGGGATTTTTAGCTTGAATATTAGCATTTGAGGAACAGTGACTTTACTGAAAACACAGAAGTGAATGAGGACCAATGTTTAGACTCTGAAGAACACTTTATTACGGAGCTCAGAAACTGGGTTAAGGGTGAGACGGGGTCGCACTATGTAGTTCAGGCTGGTCTTGAACTCATGGCGACCCTCCTGCCTCAGCCTCCCAAGTGCTAGGAGTATAGGCGTGTGCCACCATGCCCAGCTTCTGCACCACTTTTATAATTAATTAGGGTTTTGTTTTGAGTGGAAGAAGAAAAAGGAGAGAATTTTACTTCGTGTAACTGAGCAAGAATTAGGAAAAAAAACAAGGATGAAGGGGCAGCATATATGTGCATGTGTGAAGATTGCTAATACAGTAATTACCTCAGAGCGTCCTATACTTCAGCCTTCCCCACAAAATAGGAATAATCATTCTATCTCCATTTTGTAGAGTTGTAGGGCTGAGTGAGATATTGCAAAAACCGTAAATATTAGCTCTGTTCTTAGTTATTGGTGTCATCCGTGTTTTCACTGCATGCCCAGCTCCAGGGAGGAGCAAGAGTAGCCACGGTGCTGCTGCTGAGGGGAGTTCCTTGGCCATCCCCTAAGTGGTGCTGGTGTCCCCGGGTAGCTGCAGAGTGCACACAGCTGTCTTTGGGGAAGGCCGAGGAAGACTGTCTATGCTGCTGTTTAGTGTCCCAGACAAGAGCTTGTCTCTATGTTTATGGGCCAGAAACCATACTGAGAGTTAAGATTGTGCAGCAGTGAGGCTACAGGGACACCGGCGGTGGATAGTGGGGATTGTAGTGAGAACAGTCTGGTGGCTTCACCCACAGAACCTTTGTCCACCACTGTGGGGACAATGGGAATTCATCTACAGAACACTGATGGTCACAAATGTACAGATTTTATGTGAGAAACCCAGGATATTTACACATAAAGCTAAGTCTCAATGGCTGTCATGTTTACTGGATTAATCATGTTCTCCTCATTTTCCCACCTTACCCTCTGTGTCTCTCTCTGCCTCTTCCTTTTGCATAAACAGTGTCAAATCATGTTTTCAAAACATGGAGATATGCAAGCGGCGAGTGAATATGTACGACACGGTGAACCAGAGCAAAACCCCTTTCATCACACATGTGGCCCCCAGCACATCTACCAACCTGACCATGACCTTTAATAACCAGCTGACCACTGTCCACAACCAGGTGAGTAGAGAGCAGATGGGCAGGCAGTGGGGCTGATGGTGTGGGCAGCAGGACTTGGATTCCCCACCAAGCCCAGTCAGGAGGCAAAGTCCCTCGCTAAGGAAGCACTTGGTTCTGTGGTTATGTCCTTTGATCGACTCAGGTGCTCTTTGTATGACGCCCCACTCAGAGTCCCAGAAAGGACTCACAAAGGGCCTTCTTTCTGCAACAGTGCCACTTCCTGCTCTCCTCTGCTTGATGTGGCACTGGGAAGAGGAGATGCCATGATACTTTTGTGACTGACATCTACCCAGTATGGAATCCCAGAACTGAAAAGAACTCATGCAACTCCCCTCATCCCCACCACCCTGGGTCCATGTAATCTCTTTCCAGGACAAATAAAACCTGTCCTTTCTCCGACTAGCTCATCAGGCCATTGGCAGGAACCTAGCAGCTAGAACTAAAGGGACCAGAAAACTAAGGGTTTTTTTCCCCTGCAGGTTTTCAACCTTTTGCAGAAAATTAGAATCCACTGACTCAATATAATGCTTAAAATATGGGAAAATATTTATTGAATGATAATCTCTAAGCTCTAGCTCCGACTACTCCCCTTAACATCTATCCAGTAGACTCACCAGAGAATCTTTTCCCAAGTGGCCACTAATCTATAATTCTTTATGTCTTGAGGAAGCTGGGTCAGTGATATATAGCCCCTTCTATCTCTAGGAAGCTGACTTCCCGTACTTTCTAAAACTATTACCTAGATAGAAGCATAATGAATGAGGAATCCTCTGTTGGGTATTCTTAGTATAGTCCATGGATCAGCCACTTCCCTAACATGTTTGTGGTATTCTATTATTTGTACGTAGCTTGCTTTCTTCCTTTCTTTTTTTTTTTTTTTTTTTTGAGACAAGGTCTCACTATGTAGTCTAGGCTGGCCTTGAGCTCATGGCAACCTTCCCAAGCCTCCCAAGTGCTGAGATTACAGGCACCCCTTACCACACCTGGCCACACCAAGTATTCTAAGAAGAATTTTAACTTGTGTTTATAGGCCAAGCTCAGACCTCTTTTTTTTTTTTTTTTTTTGGTACCGGGGATTGAACTTGACCTTGTGCTTGCGAGGCAGGCATTGGAACCACTGAGCTAAATCCCCAGCCCTCAGACCTCTTCTTTATGGGTGTCAAACCATTTAAGCATCTATTACAACTATGATTCTCCTTGCAAGAATTACTCATCCCTTTTTTTTTGGTACTGGGGATCGAACTCGGGACCTTCCACTTTCAACGTAGGTGGCTGCACCACTGAGCTAAATCCCCGGCCCACATCCCATTTTTTTTTAAAGGCCATGTTGCCAGTAAACTTAACTTTTTCTTATTATCTCCATTTGTTAATGACAGAGCTCTTAGTTATCCCTCTGATCCTCCTGAACAGGTGACAAACTGGTTACCTTTCCCAGCACCACAGAGGATACAGAGAGCTAGAAAACTCGAACCTTCTCATGTGCTTCTTCAGCCAAGCCTTAGATTAGAAACTGGAGGGAACTTGCCTGCATGCTAATAGTCACACTGTGGACAGGGCCCAGGTCAGGACACACCTTCATTCGTCCTTGAATCTACAAGAGCTGGAGGATTCAGCCTCTCAATGAGCTTGTGGTCTCCATGGTGAGAAGGGCCATAAGCAAACCCAGATAAATACCAGCACAGACTGGGTGCATGAATGGGGGGCAGGGGTGAAGACTGCTTCAGGCTGGAGAGCCCCTCAGTGGGAGGAGCCTGCAGGCAGACTTCAGCAGGAGCAAGCCCAGAGGCTACACTGTACTGTGTGAGATCCAGACAGAGTGACTTGCCATTGATGGGGTGGGGAGGGGCACTGTGCAGCACAGGGATGCAGGCTGAGGGCCTCAACCACAGGGCTTGCATAGAACTCTGTGGGCCAAAGGATCTGTATGAAATACAATACCTGTGCTCACAATAGGCTTTGAAAACAATGAACAGACTAATCCACCCTGTGCCAAGAGCCTGGAGAGTAGAGAAAAATAAGTTGAGAAGGGAAGGAGAACAAGGAGATCCAGGCCAAGGTGCGCAGCCCACACTCACTCACAGTCCTGGGAGGGAGGGGGTTGAGCAGGCCTGACAGAGCACTTCTGGAAAGAATGTCTGGCCACTGTGCCCAAGAAGAGCCGGAAGAGAAGAAGCAGAGGCTGGGGTATCACTATTCAGGGCCTTATGGGACCCCAGCCCCAGGAAGTAACAACTGAAAAGAACTGGGGCACCTGGAGCATCAGGAGCAGACTGACCAGAGAGAGGGACAGCTCAACATGAGCTGGGGGACCTACAGGACATTGATGCCCAGGCCCTAAGTAGAGAGACCCTCAGGGACTGGAGCTGGGCTCCAGCATGTAGTATCTGAGCAGACGGGGGTGTGTTGGGAGCCCTCCAGGAGAGAGGGCAGCCTGGGGAGACATCAGTGACAAAACACAGGCTCTGGTTCCCACCTGTGTGCACCCATGCCCGACTGTCATGCCTGGACACACATTTTTAAATACGTAGCTTCAATCCTAATCCACATGCCACAATATAGTGATTATTTTCAAAGAAACTGCTTTCCTCAAAAATTCAGCACAAAATCCTGTTTATAAAAAGCATATGTAAAATGAGACTTGGACCTTGCTATCAAACCTGACACATACATATACTCTACTCAGTGTTGTCTCGGTGTGTGTGTCCAGGATGGCCACATGGATTTTCCCCTCTGCATTCCTTAGTCTTTGTAACTTCTGGAGGCAAAACCTCTGATAGACAACGTGCAGCTTAAAGCTATTGCCAGCCTACCCCCATCTTGCTGAAGGATCAGCGTGAGGAAAGCTAAGAAGGGAAAAACTGGAGAATTCCCAGTTTAGATTGTGTTTTCCTTCTGGAGCCTTGCTTCATGTTGAAGTTCAACTTCAAATGATGTCTCTTTCTGAAGGAGAAAGGAGAGAGGATGACTTGCACTCATCAAACCCACCTCCACTGAAACCCTCTCGATCTCCAGCCCCTCTGCCTTCCAACCCTAGTAACTGAATGCCAGCTTCAGTGCCAGGAACTCAAACAAGAGAGCCCAGTCTTGCTGGGTCTGTAGCTCACATCTCTGCAGTAGCTGGCTCTGCAGCATCTAAGGGTACCATGAGCACAGGCCTGAGTAAGAGGACTCGTTGAAGGGACCTGCTCTGGCTCCTTCTGGTGCCAGGGCTTCTGTGCTGAGATCTGTGTATCTGGGACCTGGGTCTTCAGGACCTGCAGAAGCTTCTTCCTGGATTTGTTGCCCAAGTATGGACTGCACCACCAGGAGGAGAATGTGACCAAATCTTGGAAGCATGGGCTAGCACACAGTCCATGTGCACCTGAAGTCCCTTGAGTTGATGGGACCAGGCTGGGCAGGGAGAAGTGAGACAGGTGTCGGCTCCTCCTCATGGTGTTCCAGTGTAGAACCCAAGGACTCCCAAAACCCTCAACTCAGACCTGGCCTTCCAGGTTGCTAGGAAGATATAATTGGAGGGGCAGGTGTTTTATTAAATAGTTTCCTAGCCTAACTTCTAACTTTTCATCATGTAGACATAGTATACAGGTGTCCCTTTGACTCTTGTCTGGGCCCCATAAATGCAAGGAGCAGGCCTGGATGTGAGCCTCAAAAGTCCTCATGTGTCTCCTGTGTCTTCCAGTGACTACCTTTCCCTGAGACTTTCAACTGAATTTCTGCTTCTGTTTTTGCCTTTTGCTCTTGGTTTTTGTTTGTTCTTCTTTGAGTTCATTTATTTGATTTAGATTCGTGTCTCCCAACCATACCACCTCCCTCATTTTTTATTTTTGTTTATTTTTGTTTAATCCTCATCATTCCTTTAGGCTCCCACCTCCACCAGTGCCACTATTTCCTTAGCCAATCCTGAGGTCTCCATACTAAACTACCAATCTACACTCTACCAGCCCTCAGCGGCATCCATGGCTGCAGTGGCCCAGCGGAGCATGCCCCTGCAGACGGGAACAGCCCAGATTTGTGCCCGACCTGACCCCTTCCAGCAAGCACTCATCGTGTGTCCCCCTGGCTTCCAAGGTAAGTTGACAGAGCTGCTTCTTGCCTTCGTCCTGTGGGCTCATCTCCGGGGCCTAGCACCTGCCAGCTCCTGGCATGCTCGCTTCCTTGAAGGAAAGCCCTCTTCCTTTTCTTCAGTGAGAGTTGAGCCTGAGCCAGAGGCTCCTATCCCACTGTGACCAGTAGGACTTGTGCTTCGGCACCAAGTTAAATTGTCGTTCTTCTCACCACCTGCCAGGAATTGTGTCCCTGACCAGCTGCCCATAAATAAGCACATTGTCTGTGGGCCCATTGTTATGCTGATGTCTGCCCTCACTTTCCTCACATGAAATACCCTATTGCAGCATCTATAGAGTTGCCAGTCTCCCTAATAGCCAACATAGTCCCAGTTCATGTGGGGAATAGAAATCTGCCTGGAAAGTACCTCTCAGGGCCTCCTCCCCAAAATGATTTTTTGGCCATGACCCCCAGCACTCTTCTCCTGTAGACTCCAGGAAGCTAGAGGTGCTCAAGAATTTATTTTTGCAAACCACATGTGTAAGTACATGCATGGTTCCTCGGGGTTAGTTACTGTGATTCCAAAGAGACCCAACCTTCCTTGCATGGCATGTACAAATGTTATCTCAATGGTCAGAATCCATGTTTTCTTGTTGTAATTTGTCAGCATAACTGTCCCACTTTGGCCACTCTAATTTGACTTCCTAGCCTTTAAAAATATTCAAGGGGTTTTTTGCGGGGAGGGGGCCTGTTTTTTAATTAAAAAACTAAAGGGGAAACTTCCCGAAGCCCCACAGGCAAAACTAGGTTGTCAGGTAGGGACTGAGAGATGACAGATGACACAGCTGGCTGAGAGGGATCTCTTTATCCAGCTGTTTCCAGTCACTCACCCAGCTCCTCTTTCCCTCCTGTGGTTGTCTGGAATAGGCTTACAGGCCTCTCCCACCAAGCATGCTGGCTACTCAGTGCGCATGGAAAACGCCGTTCCCATCGTCACTCAAGCCCCGGGAGCTCAGCCTCTTCAGATCCAGCCAAGTCTGCTTGCTCAGGTAATCCTTTCCTGTGTTACTGCTCACGTCATGATTACCCATGTTAATGTCGTTCACCAAGAAGCTCTATCTATCTCCACTAACTCACATCCTGTTAATGAGTTAGGAACTTCCAGTCCTTGTTATCTATCTCTAATATTCTAAATGATCCCCAAGTGAATTACCCTCTTAAGTATCTGCTTACAATTTCAAGAAGAGATGTAGATACGGAGAGTCTAGGGAAATTACTATTGGATTTTTGTAATGCAAATTAATCTGGGAGACCTAGGTTTTAATCCGAAATCTGCTAGTAATTCTCAATGACCTAAGGCACGTCAGTTAACATCTCTTTGCCTCATATTTCTTCCTTGTAAAATAGAAATGATTTTCTGAAGCCAAAAGGAGCCCTGGAGATTATCCGTCTGTTTTATAGTTGGAAAACAGGCTCACGGAAGCTGTGAACTGGAATCTCCCTTCTCTCGCCATATAGGTACTTTAAATGGTAGAGTGAGACCAGAGAGATGAAAATGATTGGGATTTTATAAAGAATAATATAAACTGAAGGTAACAGTAGCAATAACAGTAATGAATCCTCAGTGATACTTGAATCCTAATAACAAATACATCATTATTACACCAGGTACTTTGCAGTTGTTAATTTAATAATCCCTGCAACAATACAGTAAGGTGTTTGTTTCCATCTGACAAACAGAAACTAAAACACAGTGACTCTCAAAGATACACAGCAGTGAGGTCACAGAACCCAAAACCAAGAGGTCTAAGGCCAGCACCTGTCTTTCACCCTCCTGCTGTCCTTCCAGCTCGTCCTTTCTGCAGCTGAGCACCAACATCAGTTGATCTGGATGTAGTTAGTTTAGAAGCTCTTTAGTAAGGCAGATTCCCAAAGTGCTCCCAAAGACACTTTATTTATGGTGGCTTGTTAAACAGAAGTGGTTGTGGTTTTAATTTTTATGTAATCACATTGAGTAGGTTTGTTCTTGGCTTTCCTGTAGTCTACCGGCTTCTCTAGTGTTCTGTCATCTTAATCATCATAACTTTAATATATGTCTTGGTATCTGGTAGGGAAAGCTCTGTTCCCATGTACTTCTTCAATATTTCCTTGTCTATTCTTGTCTCTTCTTTTGCAAATGAATTTTTTTTTTTTAAATTTGAGATAGGGTGTTACTAAATTACCCACTCTGGGCTTGGACTTCAGATCCTCCTGCCTCAGCCTTTCAGAGTGCTAGGTTATAGGCATGCGCCACCACATCTAGCTTCCATATGAATTTTTTTTCCATATGAATTTTAACATCACTCTTCAATAAAAATGTTAGTTTCAAAACAAAAAGAATGCTGATTATTATTTATTGGACTTTATTGGATTTATATTTACTTTAGGAACAACTGACATGTTTTAATATCAAGTCATTTTATTCATGAATATAGTATAATTTATTAAATTTGATAACATTTTTCCTTATTGGAATAATTCCTATTTTACAACTTGTTGCTATTAGTTTTATTAATTACGTTTTCTAATTATTGGTATTTCACTATAAATGAGTTTGGTCTGTTGGGCTTGTTATATAACAATCTTGTTTCAATGAAGTCTTTTGGATTTGCTATGTGATCTTTTTTATTTGCAAGTGATATTGTTTGGTTTCTTGCTTTCCCATCCTTACATCTTTTTTTTTAATTGCTGATATTTCTGGGCTGACTAGGTCCTTCAAAACCATGTTAAATAACAATGTTTGTATTGGACATCTTTGCCATCTATGCAACTTTAAAGTAAATTTTTCTAGCTGTTTCCTCTTGGGTATTTTATTTACTACAAATATTTGATACAGATACTATCACGCTTAAGTTTTTAATGAATATTGAATTGTATCAAACATTCTTTCTGCATCTGTTGAAATACTTGTATTATTTGTTCCCTAATCTGTTAATATAGCAAGCTCTATAACAAGTTGTATGAACAGATTGTGTAATCTAAACTATCGTTGTATTTATGAGATAAACTTTATTGAATCATGTTTGTATTTGGTATGACAGTATTGTAGTAAGCATTTTTACATCTATGTTCATAAGTGAGAAATGGCATATAAATTTCCCTTTCTTATAGAACCCTTATCTAATTTGAATACAGGGTTACACCAGTCTTATAAAATATATTGGCTTGGACCAGGCATTTAGGTCAGTGGTTTCACCGCCTGCTGCGCAAGTGCAAGGACCTGAGTTCGATCGCTGGTACCAAAAAAAAAAAAGATATTAGCTATTAGCACCTCTTCCAGAAGAGCTAAGATTGACATGAATCTTTGTCTTTGCTCTTCCATCCAAACTGACACTGTACAAGTGACCACTAACAGCAGCAACTGGTGGCACAAAGGCTTCCTTCTTGTTGAAAGATTATCAACGGAGAACTTCTATATTTAAAGCACGTCTCTCCTTCCTGTCTCATCAGTCCTCATAACTTCCTTTTGTGGCCCAATTCAGGAGTAGGGAGTTCAGAAAAGGCCAAAATTGATCAAAGGAAAGAACTGCAGCTCAGTCTAGAGGCAAAGAAGTTTGTTCATACTTTCTCTGAGTGGCAAAGATCCAGACCAGTCTCCAGTGCTGCTCTTCTGTGAGCCAAAAATCTATAGATTTCATGTTGCTTTCAAGGGTAATTACAGGCCTTTTGTTGTGTTTGCACATTTAACCCGAGTACCAGGAACCATCTCTGAAAGAAATAACAAGCAGCATCTCTTCTTAGCTAAAATAGACCTTTATTGTGCAGTTTGGTGGAACCAGCAGGCTCAGCATTTCTGAATTTGTTTCAGTTCTATAATCATAGCAGGAGAGAGCTCTAACTTTCACTTACTTGAGAAAGAATCTCTAAAGTATGGTAAATCTCCAAGTTAATTTAACCTAAGTATGTAATTGGGAAAGTGAATAAAAATGTGTGTACAAAGATTTTAATTGCTACAGTGTTCGTAACAGAGAACTGTTGGAAGCAAGTTCAATGTTCGTCCCTAGGGCATTTGTTAAGTCAATAGATGAATTCATAAAATGGAACACCATGTAGCCATTAAAAAGGGCATGGTAGGGCCAGGGATTTAGTTCAGTGGTTTCACCACCTGCTGCTCAAGTGCAAGGACCCGAGTTCGATCCCCGGTACCAAAAAAACAAAACAAAAAAGGGCATGGTAGACCTGTGTGTCTTGACATGCAGAAACTTCTAAGATATATTGTTTTAAAAAAAAGAATTCTGACCCTATCAAGTATCATACTGTGTCTTTTTGTTTGTTGGTTGCTTTTTCTTTTTTCTCTCTGCTTTTCACTTACTTGATCCATGCCAATGTTAGCCTGTTAAGATGGCTTCTGTCCTAGAGGTTTTTAAATGATCCTTCTGAAGAACAAAAATAAGTCAAGTTACAGAACTAGTATGGTGACTATTTTATTAAAAAATAGTCATTAAACATTCAAGCTGAATCCTTTTTTTTTTTTTTTTTTGTACCAGAAATCGAACTGAGGGCCTCATGCTTGCCAGGCAGGTGCTGGGCTGCTGAGCTACACCCCTGGCCCTAATCCTTCGTTTGTATATGAGTAAATTTCTAGGTTTCAGGAAGAAGCATTCTAAAAACTATTTGCCTTAAATGTATCCAAAAACTTGCCATGATTCTTTTCTTCTGAATACTTAAAATCCTTTCAAGAATTTTATTTGTGAAGGCTTGAGTCTTTGAATCAACTCTTTGTATTAATGTCGTTTCTTTGCCCCTTTCCTCTGTATCTCACAGTAATAGCACATGTCCCCTACAAGGAAACAAGCCTCATGGGCTACCCTGAAGGTGTCTGCATGACAGGGATCATACCTTCTCACGGCAGGGACACAGGCTGATTTTCCTGAATTGCCTACAAAGAGAAAAAACATTTAGGGGACCTCACTTGGCTCAGGCTGCCCTCGAACTTGTTATATTTGAGCATATTGAGTTCAGTGTCTGTATTTTTCTACCTGAAACCTTTTAAGACTTTCTCCCTGTCTACAGTGGTCTCAGATTTTTTTTTTTTTTTGGTATCGGGGATCGAACTCTGGTCCCTCTGCTTTCGAAGCAGGTGGTGGAACCACTGAGCTAAATCCCCGGCCTGGTCTCAGTTTTTATTGTGGGTCTTTTCTTCCTATATTGTCCCTGGTATCCTATTTGCATTTTTATTCTTCTTTCAGTGCTGGAGATCAAACCCAGAGCCTCAGAAATGCTAGGCAAGGGCTTACCACTGAGACGGATAACCCAGCCACCTGTTTGCCTTAGAAGTTTAAAATTTTCCTTTGATAATTTCTTCTCTGTTTTCTGTGTCTTCTTTGTAGAGTTCTTAGAATTTGGGTATTGTTACTTCTAAATTTTTCTTCCTAATCTCTAATTTTGCCTCTCTATTTTCTATGCCACACTATTCTTTTTTTTTTTGGTACGGGGATCGAACTCAGGTCCTTGCACTTGCAAGGCATGCGGTGGAACCACTGAGCTAAATCCCCAGCCCCCCTCTCTATTTTCTATATATCTTCTATCTGTGCTACTTTCTGAGAAATGTCAGCTTTTTTTTAAATTTTCTTTCTTGTTCACTGAGTAGCTATTGATAAGAGATATATTTATTTTTCCTCTATATGATGTTGTTTCATGGATATATATATATTTTTTTAACTCTGTGTGGACATTAATTACAGATCTTCAGAAATTTTCCTCTGATTTCTACATTATTTTTTGTTTCTTCTGAGTTTCTTTTTTGTTTGTTTCTTTTAGGCTCTCATGCTGGAAGCTTCCTGTATGTCTGGCTATCCCAAGCCCAGCATTCTCAGACCCCCTAATTCTCAGATGTCATCTCTGTAAATCTTTTCTCTTGTAGTTCTTTACAGTTGCCTTAGAGAGAATCATCCTGCACACCAGAATTCTGGAAATTGAAAGGTTTACTATACAAGCTTACCTTAGAATCCTTCCATCTATCAGCTAACTCACTTGATAATCATATATCTGTTGTCCCACTTCCAGAATTTTGCTAACTGTTAAAGTCTCTTCACCTTTATGAATCTGTTCCTCCATTTTAGTTGGGTTTAGGGAGAACAATAAATGTATGTATTTGATATGCCATGTTTCTGGGCAAGCTATTTAATCTGTGTCTCAGTTTTTTCATCTGAGAAATGGAAGGAAATAATAGACCCTACCTCACAGAATTGGTGTTAGGAAGTCATAAAATCCATTTATGACTTAACTCTGTGCTCGGCACATAATATGCATCAAGAAATATTAGCTCCATTCTTAGTGGTAGTAGTAAATTTAGAAATGTGTGATGAAGTATAATCTGAAATGAGTTGAGTGCATCAGTTATGGAAAAAAGTCAAAAAATAGCCTTCTACTTTATCCTTTGAGGTAAAATGTTAATATCTATTTCAGGGAAATAGAAAAAATTAAGACTTTAGCTTGCTATCAACATTTTTTAAATGTCATTAGTCAATACTCATGCTTTTCATGAGCTCTGAAATGAGTTCCAGATGACTAAGCAGTAGAAATCTTACTGCCAATGAACTTGTTAATTATTGAATATTTTTAGTTGACAGCTATTTTAATCAGTTAAATTTTTCTGCTTACTATGAATTCAGTAAACCTGAAATACAATTAACTGTTGTTAACAGACTTGGTAGAATGGCTTTCATTTAATCAATGGGTACTTATTAAACACTTAAGTATGATCTGTAGCCTCTGAGCTTTCTGCCTATATCAAAACAGGTCAGTAACCAAATAGATATATCAAAAAGTATAAGATTTCGCAGGCTTGCAATATGAGGATGATGAACAGGGAAAGTAGGGTAGATATAAAATATGCTTATACTTTTTTTTTTTTTGGTATCGGGGATCGAACCTGGGTCCTTGCACTTGCGAGGCAGGTGGCGGAAGCACTGAGCTAAATCCCTGGCCCTCTTATACTATTTTTATAAACATCATTTTTTTTGTCAGTACTGGGGATTGAACCCAAGACCTTCACAATAAGCTACATTCCCAGCCCTTTTTTATTTTTATTTTGCTAAGCCATTTACTTGCCCAAGCTGAGCTCAAACTTGTGATCCTCTTACCTCAGCTTCCCACAGTGCTGGAATTACAGGCATGTGCCCCCCACACACACACAGCTAGCATCACTTTTTTTTTTTTTTTAGTGTCACTTTTTTAAAGTCCTTGACTTATAATCCATTTCCAGATGTGCTTGTTTGTACATGTGAGTCAAAACACACATATTGAACATGTGCCCAGTGTGTGGAGCACTGCATTAGATGTGTTACCCATGATAGTCATTTCCAGTCAGATGGAAAGAGAGAACTATAACTAAGATATCCAAGCCTTACATCTTTGACTGCCTTGATCTAAGTGGTAATCCTTTTAAGTGTGCGACTCTAGGCAGTTGTATTCAATCTGAATCACTTAATGACTGAAAACATAAAGAATAATGACAGAGGATACAAACAGTTTAAAACATCACACACACACACACACCCCAGTACAGTAAGTCTATTCAAGAAGGAGTCAATCACAAGAGTTCATTTCAGATTTCTTAGAGAAATCTTGATATATAAAGATGGAAACATTGGCTTCCTACTGATCTCTCATTTTTGCTTTAAGGAGTCAAAGTAATTCTAATTAGGTTGAAAGTTGCGCTAAGAATGGTGTTTCCTGGGCTAGGGATTTAGCTCAGTTGTGCCCCGCCTCCCTCACAAGCACAAGGTCCTGTGTTCGATCCCTGATACCCAAGAAAAAAAAAAGAATGCTGCTTCCTACTGCTGGCTCTCAGCTGTCAGCCACCAGATTGTTACTGATCTCAGAATTGTGTAAACTTAGAGTTCTTTTTTTTTTTTTTTTTGTACCGGGGATTGAACTTGGGACCTTGCGCTTATGCGGCAGGTGCCAGAACCACTGAGCTAAATCCCTGGCCCCTGTGTAAACTTAGATTCAGAACGTAACACAAGATGGACTCTAGGTGGATTTGCTTTTTTGTGGTGCGTGCTAGGCAAGCTCTCTACCACCAAGGTTCATTCACAGCCCTCTCTGGATACTGATCGATAAACAAAAGGTAAAGTATCTATCGAGTGGTACTGGAGAGACAGGAAGCTTCCTGAGGGCAGGGAGTCACCTTGTCTGGCCCAACTCATTCCCTCACATGTAGCTGTGCAACAGAAGAAATCAATAAATGACATTCTAAAACCTTCAAGCATTGCTTGTGAGAGCAGATTCATAAGTCGTTCTTCAGCATAAATGAATCCCTTCCTTTCAACTCTGTGCTCCTGTACTTCCTTATCTTCTATTTAGTTTGAATATGTTAATGTTGTCTCCCTTTAGTTCAGTATCTGAGAAGGCCAGAAATCAGAGTTCCATTTTCACACCAATCACAGGCTCTAGCACAACCCAGGGCACAGATAAAGTGCTAGATTCTGCAAATCAATTTGTGATTAACAGACGTGATGACTGCAAACGTCCTCTGTCCCACAGCAGGCCTGGCCAAGTGGCACCCAGCAGATCCTGCTCCCCCCAGCTTGGCAGCAGCTAACTGGAGTGGCCACACACACATCCGTGCAGCATGCAACTGTGATTCCTGAGACCATGGCAGGCACCCAGCAGCTGGCCGACTGGAGGTGAGCAGGACACCTGGTAGGGTGAGAGGTGCCTGGGATGGGAGGCATGTGTGCTGCCACTGCGGAACACACTGTAATGAAAGGTTATTTTTAAACAATGTTCCAGGGTAGGGGAAAATCAGTTTTGCTGATTTATATAATCAGCTGTCATTGTCCACTGAAAATTCAGTTACATCGTTTAATCACCAGTGTAATTCACCAGTCTTGGCTCCAGATGATTCCTGGGTTTTCAGAGAATTAAATTCCACTCTCAGAAAACAAAAGTTTGTCACCAGTGAAAGACTGCAGAAGAGAGTCCCAAAAACCCTAAACAATTCTAGAAATTATTCTCACAATGTCTGGAGATATAGCACCTTGGAGTCTGTCTGGCCCTCCCTCCCCACCCCCCCACCCCCAAGGCTTGACAGGCTGAGGTTTGTTTGGAATGGCAGGCTCTGGCATATAAGGTGAATGCGCCTCTTCAGTTACTGGTCCCATCTTACAGATCCAGATCCACATCCACAGACCCTCCATAGACTCCAGAGGCACCCCATTTTCCACCTGCCAGCACATTGTACCCCTGCTATTTCCAGAATTCCACCCATACACCTCCCTGACTTCTATGGCCACCTGTCACTTTTCCTCAGGCCTCTCCTCAATACCACAGTGCCCTTCTCCACCAAGTAGAACCAGATGGCAGTCCCCCAAATTGTCTCCCCACAGTCTCTTCAGCTGTCTCTCCTGCAGCACTCCCCTCCACCCTCTGACAGTCACCTTATCACCTTGGGAGCCTCCCACTGCTCCTGGTCTTACCTAAAAGGATATTGTGAACGAAGAGCTCTCGGCGAAAGGTGGACAGGTAGAGACAGAAGCACCCCCAATAGAGCCTCTACTGCCGCTTCCTCCATGTAAAGCAAGCGCATGAGCTGTCCCCACAGACCCACCTGCTCCCCACACCCAGCCCAGTCATCGGAAGCATTTTCAAACCAGGTATTACTTCATTCTGGCTCTGCTTGATCTGGCACAAGTTAACCTTCATGAGCCTCAGTTTCTTCTTCACTAAAGTGGGATAATCATGCCAACCTCACAGGATTATTGGATGGTTTAAATTAAGACACAACGCACTTGGCCCATATTTAACATTCACCATAGCAGTGCCTGAACATGACAAGCAGTAAATAACCCTGTCATCTTCTCTTTGCCCATTCACAGAGACTCCTGCTTGGCAAGGTCACCTTTCTTCCTCCAGCTCATTAGGAACAGCAGCCAACTAGAAAGCTGTCTGACCAATTGTTGTTTTTCCCCTCACCCATTTTTCTCCTAAAAGACCACACATGTGCCATATTCCCCTTTTTCCTTTGTTTTTACAACATTTATAGCTCATTTAATTTCAGCAGTACTCATACATTTACTCATTCATGCACATTTTCTTATTCCTCCTCCCTCCTTTCTTCCATATCTTATGTAGTAATCATGGACATCTAAAGCCAATGCCTTCTTCCTTATCTCTTCATTTCATGTGTGGGCCAAAGAACATCCATAATCATGGCTAATAAAAGAGTTGTGCCAATGCCAGATTTGTTTCAAAAGAAAAAGAATGCCACATGTCTGTAGGGAAATAGCAGCAACAAAATAAAGAAGCCACATCAGTTTTTCTAAAGCCCATGTAAATGCCTAAAAGACTGTCAAAATCTCTATTAAAAAGTTCATCTGCTTTTTTTCTCCTATTCATCCTTTTCCCCACTTTGCAAAGATAGAATGTGATTATTATTTTTAAAACTTCAAATGAATTCTCCTTTGGCTTTTAATTTTATTATATGTTAAAATGGGCTTTTATGGGCAAATCTCTGAATTAATCACCACTTTCAACATTTCTGTGGGAAAACCGTGCAACCCAAACTGTCAGAACTTTGAAATGTAACTCATTTTCAGGATGCAGGCTGCCAGTATTTCTATCAACATGTGCTTCGCTGTTATTAATTTTTATTTAATACCAAACTCTATACATGTCTACTCAACCTTCAGTTAATCTAATTGTTCATTCAGCAAGCATGTAATTAACTGATCAGCTGCTACATGCCTGAGCATTGTGCTAGCCACTGAAGGAATTCAAAAGAACATTAACACTTCCTAACACCAGAAACATATGGCTCCCAATCTTCAAAGTTTGTTTTTCACATTAACTAGAATTCCCTCATTAATAAAATGATATTACTAAGATCCTACCTACTTCAGAGATCAGAATGAAAGAATCCATTGATGACACTTTGTAAATTCTAAAATAAAATACACATATTATTGTTCAGCAATCCCCCTTTCAAAAATTTTTAAGTTGGGGAGAATATTTACCCCCTCTCTCCAGAACTTAAACACTCTGAGCCTGCACACTGGCATTCCTCCCACTTGAAAGTCCTTCATCACCAACCAGCTGGGTTCCTCCCCCTCCTTTAAACCAGCTTCAACTTGACTGCATCAGGAAGCCCATCTGGGGAATTTACCTTGGGGAGCTGATCGCATTAGGGATCCCACAGATAGTGAGATGTCTCTCACAGTCAGCATTTACTTGAGAGAAAGCTTCATCTTATAAAAGAGCTCTGGTTGTAGAACACCACTTAAGAGCCTTGTCTTCCCATTTCCCTTTCAGAAACACGCATGCTCACGGCAGCCATTACAATCCCATCATGCAGCAGCCTGCCCTATTGACAGGTCATGTGACCCTTCCCGCTGCCCAGCCCTTAAATGTAGGTGTGGCCCATGTGATGCGACAGCAGCCAACCAGCACCACCTCCTCCCGGAAGAGTAAGCAACATCAGTCCTCTGTGAGGTAGGTGACCAAAGCACCTGGAGAACCGGGAACCCCTGAAGGTTGGAATGTTAAGGAAAGGCAGTAGCCAGCAGCACATCCTGTACCAGCCCTCGCCCTGAGTTGCTACAAGTGGAACCCTGTGTCTTGCCTGGCCCTGGTGTCTGCCCTGCATGTACCCTAAGGGTGGGGGCCTGGGATCACCACATATGTGACTCACTGAGTGCTTCGGTCCCTTTTGTTAAGAAAATGATTCAGTGATACTTGTTAAAGCACAGTGAGGAAGATTTTATGAGGTCCTGAGTTCGATCTCTGGTACCAAAAAAAAAAAGCTGGAAACGGGCAGGGATGCTGAATGAATCTTGCAGTGGGGGAAAGAGATTAGGCTCAGCTCTTCATATGGCATGGCAAGTGAGAATTTACAGCCAAGGAGCAGCGTCTGAGTAAGAAGATGGACAAGCACTAAGGAGTAAGGAGGCTTCTGGCTAAACTGACCCAATAAGATTCTTACTGAAAGCAGCCAGGGTGACCACGCAGGTCCTGGTGGCTGGGGGCCAATCAGGAACCTGATGAAATAGCCAGGCTGACCAGATATCAAGTGTGGGGTACTGGCTAAACTGATTTGAGTAGGGGCTATGCACTAAAAGTGGATTTTACAAGTGCATTCATGGGTCTAGGAAACGGCTCAGCCTGACTAAAGTCAAAGAATTTTATCTTCTTTTCTAGAAAACAGACTCATCTCTGAAATCCCTTAACAATAACTTTTGCAAAAATACTAGCGTTTAGTCCCCAGCACTGTTAAAACAAAAAAATAAAAACAAAACACCTAGAGAAATGTACTTCTTTTGAAATCTAAGGTCAAGAAATGAAACTTATTTAGTTCCTTGCTTAAATATAACCAGTACCTTTAGTTATTCCCAGACACTAACCTTTCCCATTTTCTTTAACTCTAGTCTCATCTCATTGATCCCATAATCAAGGCTACATGCTCTATGGGCCCATTTAAGTATCACTTTGGAAAGTGCAAACAGAGCTCAGAGCAGAGGTTGCCAGAGACCAGAGCCCCTTCGTAGAGGAGGGGATTGCCTGAGAAGGAGCATGGTGGAACTCCAGTAATGAGAAAGTTCCATATCTGGATTGTAGTTGGGGTTTTTGACATTTTCCAAATCTTACTAAAATTCTTCAGAAGGGGGCCAGGCATGCTAACCCACGCCTGTAATACCAGTACTCTGGGAGGTTGAGGCAAGAGGATCAGAAGTTCAAATCCAGCCTGGGCAATTTGGTGACTTAGTGAGACCTTGTCTCAAAATTAAAAATTTTTAAAAAGCTGCGATGTAGCTAAGTGCAAAATCTTGGGTTCAATCTCCAATACCACAAAAAAGAAAAGATTTCTTATTTGGGTGTATCTGACAACTCCAGAAAATTCATCTCAGATCAAAGGCAACCCTCCAGAATGCTTTTGTTGGACAGCCTTTTTGTATTGACAACACACTCATGTCATTATTAGACTGGGCAGCAAAAAAGGCCACTGTCTTGATCCTCACATGCTGTAATCCCCGGCCACTTAGGCAGTCACACAGAATGCTGATCTGACCCACAACTGAGCTTGGCAGCCTCACAGACCACCTTGACCGAGCAGGGGCCCTAAGAACCCTTGGCTTCCCCACCTGTTTGCCAAGTCCCTCCTGCCCTGTCTTAGCACCATCCAGCTGGCCTTGTGAAGTTCATTGCCCGTATAGTTCAAGAGTGTAATTATTCCACAAGTTTTGTGTTTGCCTATATCTAAGGCCAGCTTTTAAAAACAGTCTGAGCCAGAGCCGGGTGTGGTGGTGCATGCCTGTTATCCTAGCCCTCAGGAGGCTGAGGCAGGAAGGCCAGCCTGGGCTACATAGTGAGTTCAGGGCCAACCTGAACTACAAAGGTAGGCCTTGCCTTAAACAAACAAAAAACAGTTTGAGACAGAGACAGAAGGTGTTGCATCTAGCCCTGCTTTTGTCTGACAGTTCCACTTGGAACACTCATGAGGCAGTAAAAACAGTCTCAAAATCATAACACAATAGCATTAACAAACAGGTTTATGATAAGTAGAAACAGTGGAACACTCTTAACAGTAAAACTTATTACCAGCCCCCAAGAAAGGCATAAACAATGTATCTGACGCAGCTAGATAGAAAATTAAATAAGCCTACTTTTACTGAATTATTTTCATTTTACTGCCATCCCTTTTGCTAGAAGATGCTAAAATCTCTGAGAATTTTTCTGAGCCTAAGATGCATTATACATTGGCTTTGCTCTCTCACTGCATAGATACTACCAGTATCTCCAAAGGTTTGATTAGGGGGAGAAGGTATTTTTTTCCCTAAAGTTACAAGAAACTGCATTGTCTAAGTTAGTAAAGAGTTTCAGCTCAATCCAGACCAAATTAAAAGGTCCCCCTTTTTTTTTTGGTACCAGGGATCGAACTTGGGACCTTGCACTTTCGAGGCAGGTGGCACAACCACTAAGCTAAATCCCTGGCCCCAAAAGGCCCTTTTTTTTTTTTTTTTTGGTACTAGGGATCAAACTCAGGTCCTTGCACATGCACAGCAGGTGGTGAAACCACTGAGCTAAATCCCCAGCCTGAAAGGCCCTTTTTTAAGCAAGCCTTTTTCTCTGTACTTTCCCCAGTTTCTCATTACAATTCAGATAGACTGGTGAGCCTCCCCTGATACCCATGGGTCAAAACCTAGAAAAATCTTTTTGGGTTTTTTCATTATATACACACATGCTTTCATGGCTGTGCCCTTTTCCTAGAGGAAGGAGGAGAGAAAGTTGAATTTTAATGTCACCAAGGTTAGGTCCACTAGATTCAGAAACCTTTTTTTTTTCAGAAACTCTTAAATAAGAATTTTCATTTAATAAATGGTAGAACAATCATTAGCAAGGAAACCAAAATGATATGGGTTTTAGTTTACTAAATGGTGAGTCAGCCATAGCAAGGAAACTAAAACTTTATGTGGCAAACACCAGTTCTCTCAGTGTCCCCAAAACGATGCATGAGGACCCTTAAGGGACAGAGCTTAGAGAATAGGACCTTCATCCTGACAATGATGGCATCCTTGTCAGGACATCTGCCCTGCAAAACCAGCGTCCTGGGAGCTGGAAACCTGGCCAGTCTGCCATCCCTACACAGGGACTAGCTGAAGCTCGCCCAGTGGCCACTTTCCTGCTGGTGGATGGGGCCCAATTGGCCAGGGCCTCAGACATTGTTCTCATGGAACTTTGGCAAAACTGCTGTTTCTCTGTAGTTGGGCTACTTGGAAGGAGTTTCCAGCCCACCTTCCTCTCTAAGCACATGTGGTTTTGTTATTTCAGAAACGTCTCCACCTGTGAAGTGTCGTCCTCGCAGGCCATCAGCTCCCCACAGCGATCCAAACGTGTAAAGGAGAACACACCCCCCCGCTGCGCCATGGTGCACAGCAGCCCGGCCTGCAGTGCCTCTGTCACCTGCGGGTGGGGTGACATGGCCTCCAGCACCACCCGGGAGCGACAGCGGCAGACGATTGTCATCCCAGACACCCCCAGCCCCACAGTCAGCGTCATCACCATCAGCAGTGACACAGATGAGGAGGAGGAGCAGAAACACGCCCCCACCAGGTGAGGCAGTATGCTGGTGACCTGTGTGTGTTGCTTTTCCTTGTCTGAGGCCATGGTCCATGGACCTGAGCCATTTACCATTGTCAAACATAGTTATCCCTCCCTGCCAACCCCTAGAGTTTGGATCCACTATTTCTTGTATCCTTAACTTATTTCAAGAGAATGTCAACAGATTTCCATATTATTTAAACCAAAATAATTTGAAATCACTTTAATCTTGAGAAATGGTTACAGCCCTTTTACATTTGGGGAATGTGGGACCATAAAAGTCAGGTATAGAAAGCCAGTGTATTTCAACTTCTTTCAGCTCAAAAATCTCTGCCTCAGCCTATTGAATTCGTTCCCAGTTGGTCAGGAGATTTCTCTAACACTGCTTTGGCTCACTCAGAATTTGAAGTAATTGTCCAATTAATCAGAAATTTCCCTGTGTCTGATAAACCCAATCTTTCATACTGCTAGTTGGCTCTTCACCCAGAGAGTATTACTGTTTATTCCTAAGTAGTAATAATTCATTTTACTCTCTGTGTGCTTCCTGGGGAGAGGGAAGAAATATTTATTATATTTGCAAGACTGTTAACCCTAGCATCAGAGCCTCTTTTTCTATGCTTTGCAGCCAGATGCCAACAAATGAGACTTTCTGCTTGGGCTGCTCAGCTTAGGTGGTGCAGCCAAACAGACCTGGGTCGTCTGCACTCCAGGGGCCTTATAGAACCCCAAGTCCCACAAGCCCACCCTGCTGGCACCAGTCCTAAGGGACCAAGGGCCAAGGAAGGAAGCCAGCCACTCCCGAGCCCGGAGCTACCAGTCACTGTGCATCCCACAACTGGTGCAAAGTTCAGCATTGACAATTAGCCCCAAATTATTAATTGCTGATTGGATACAATGTAGATCATTAGCAATCACAAGACCTTTTGATTAGATAATAAATTCTTATGCTTGAAATCTTCACCAAAGTTATAGATAGACTGATTCACACATTCTCATTAAAACTGTTATTGCACAGGGCATCCCTTCAGATCTTTATAATGAAGTTCAGGGTTTGTTTTTTTGTTTTGCTTTCTTTTGTGTTATCTTTTCGCAATAGGCCTAGTGTGTGTCTCACTCAAGTATCTTTTCCTATTGAATGAATGGTACAGCCTGATCTTCAGTGTATTTCAGAGAAAGACATAGTGAAGCTTTTCTGGTCCTGCCATTTGCTGGGTACCAGAGGGGACACTAGGTCAGTGGGACCAGGCACACATTGGCAGACCAGTATTGCTTTATTCACCATGTGCTGATTCCAGGACTGTCCTCATTTCCTTTTTGATCACAGCCCCAACCTGAGTCAGTGTTCCAGATCCCCAGTGTCTCGTCCCTACCCCCAACCACCCCAGGAAAACTATGGGCTCCAAGGCCCCTTCACAAGGAGAAAGGCCCTTCTGGCCCCCCGACTGGGCCCTGGCAGTACTGGGTGAGAATGGCTCATTAACCTTGCAATAACTGAAGGAAACAAAAAGCAAAAGTAGCTTAAAAATCTAGCAGTCAACTAGATTGGGATATGATTTTTGAAGCCTGAGATTTGAGTTGACACAGACTCTGGTGGTAAGTGTCCAGGAGAGAATCAAACAACATGTCTAAGGACAAGGGCAACAAAAGCCATCTCTTCTATGGTAAGTCAGCAGATGGGGCTGAGAGTGGATGCAAAGCTGAGCATGCCCCTGCTCTCCGGCAGCCTGAAGCCCCCAGAGGGAAGCAGAACTGAAATGCTGGCAGCTTGTGAGGACCTTGATGTAAACGACTCAGGGCGGGAGGGCAGGCTATAGCCCATGGGCGGATGACATGTGAGGGACAGCCACAAATCAGGCACTGGGCTGCTCAGTCCCATAGCATTATGCAGTTCAAAGTATATGATCAAGATGAATAAAATGTATTTAGAGACCTCTACCCAATGGTGAGCTGCAGACTGACCAGAGAGTGAAGGGAAGGGACCAGCACCGTGACGGGCAGCTCGTGGATGTGATGGCAATGTTTTCTGAAGAGATCAATGGCAGCTGCCTTAGAAAATGGTTTAGGACCCAAGAAAATAGGAAAATATTTTTATTTCTGTGAGATAACAGAAAAGCCAGTGGCTGTCTTATTTATAGAGAAATCACTTGTAATTATGACCACATTATTGTGACTCTATTTAGGAATGAGGGAAAAAAAGTAGAGGGAAATATGATTACCTGTTCTTAGAAATCAGAATTATCATAAAATTGAGCATAGTAAATATCTGTTGGCCCCACCAGTGTAAGATATTGTGCTGGGATGGCAGATGTTACATAAATAACGGAGACAGTCTCTGTCCCCACAAGGAACGAGGTAATAAGCACAGTAAAACAAATAAATCATTGTAATGCATGGAAGAGCCCCAGAGCTGCATCCCAGCCTGAGAGGGGACTTTCTAATGTGGACAAGCAGTAGAGGAGGTGGGGTTGCAAATCCAAGCCAGGGGGTTGAGGGAGCACAGCCCCAGAGGTAAGGGAACAGAAGGCGTCACCTTGTCCAGGAGAAAGCAGCTCCCATGGAGGAAAGGCTCTTGGTGCATAAAGGGGGCTGACAGGCTTCTTCCTCCATGAGGAGGGTGGGCTGAGGGACTCAGGGGAAAGCTCAGTCCTGCAAAACAAAGGTGTAACCCTAAATGTAGCCAAAGGGGTCTGTGTGACCGCTGTCAATCTAAATAGCTTCCCTTGCCCTTCTGGGTTCAGCTGGATGATGAAGACCTTCCCTCTTTAACCATACCACCCTCATCCCCAGCCTGATTCCCCCTGTGCTGTGAGCATCTTGATTCTGATTTTTGTTCCCATCCCCCAACCCCCATTTCCCATTTGCTGCTTACCCAGTTCTGGCATTTCCAGCTCCCAGTACTAGTCCTGGAACTTTGCCTAAAAGGCTGGTTAATCCCCCTCCTGTGGCTCAGCCCCAGCATGGCAGCTGGAGAGTCCAGGGCCAACGGCACTCACAAGGGTGACAGTACCTCCACCACCAGTATGTCTCTTAGCACCAACTTGAGACAAATGATGGAAAATCCACTAAGTCTCCAAGACTAGAGGACATGGCCTAGAATTATTAAAAGAATATCAAGGTAAAATCATTATTCCAGACCCAGTTATGTGACCCTCATAGTTGCCAGGGCAAATGGATGGTCATGGCTCCCACTTGTAAGGAGAATTACAGAGCACATAGGAGGGAGACCAAGAGAGGGGAACTAAAGAGGGGAATCCTAGCAAACAGTCACCAAGTGAAGGCCACCATTTCCCATTTGATAGATGAAGAAACTGAGGCCAGAACAGGAAAGTGATTCATCCAAATTGATGAAGGATCTGAATAGCAGAATTAGGATTCAGGTGCCATGCCATTAAAGAAATAGCAAATGTAGCACTGGCAAAAATAACGGGTTTCTCTTCAGTTAGACCTATAGGACACCTGGAATCCTAGCACTCAAGAGGCTGAGGCAGGAGGATCACTATGAGTTCAAGGCCAGCCTGGGCTACATAGTGAATTCAAGGCTGGCCTGAACTATGTAGCAAGACCTTATCTCAAAAAGAAACAAAAAAAAATACAAAATAATAAATTCTGTCCCCTTCTGAAGCCTCCACTGTGCCCTGGTGTTACCAAACGTGTGCAGGGAACAGAGCCAGCGTTCTGAGGAGTCCAGACCATTGTGTGTGAGCCTTCCCTGGATGCCAGGCATGCAGCAGAATCAGCACTTTCAAATTTTTTTTTTGGTACGGGGGATTGAACTAAGGTCCTTGGCTTGCGCAGCAGGCACCAAAACCACTGAGCTAAATCCCTGGCCCTTCAAATCTTTTTGTTGTTGTTGTTCAGGCTGGCCTTGAACTCACTATGTATTTCCCAGGCTGGCCTGGAACTCATGGCAATCCTCCTGCCTCAGCCTCCAGAGTGCTGGGATTACAAGTATACACCACCACACCCAGATTAGCACTTTCAATTCTTAGCAGAGGTTTTAGTACATGGGCAGTTGAGGAAGAACCAGTGGGCTCCTTTCTTTCTTTCTTTCTTTTTTTGGTATCAGGGATCGAACTCGGGTCCTTGCGCTTGTGCAGCAGGCGGCGGAAACCACTAAGCTAAATCCCCGGCCCTCCTTTCTTTCAATAAGTCACTGTTGACCGTGGCTAGAGAATCAACCTAAAGACAGAAAAAACTAAGCTTTTTTTCTTTATGTCCTAAGGTGAAGTGGTAGAAACAGTCTTAAGTGTTTATAGATGGCTTTGACTCGAGAAGCATTGGACTGTCCACACATACTGACTAAGCCATCCCTTCGTCCCTGGATTCTCCCTGGACATGCTTTGCACATGTGTCTTACTTAGCAGACCCTCATGTCAGCTTGGCCTTGTGCCAAAACTGTCTTGTGGAGGCCATGGCATACAATTTCTGGGCAAGTGGAGCATTTTTAATTGTGTAACCAAAGCAGTGCATTTCAGTTGATCAGCTGGAAATTGCTGTGTCCGGCTCCATTATTCATTCACTCACACTGGGGCAGCTCTGGGAGGCAAAACTTTTTGTTCGGGGCACTGCTGCGTTTCATGCAAGCAGCCAGCCACTCAGACTTAAACCCCATGTGGCCCAAAATATCCACTCTAAGAAAATTGGTGCATTTTTGCTAAAAAAGAAAAAGGAAGGAAGAAAAAAATTGGTGCATAAATGTCACTCCATTTTTCTAGATATAAAAAGTCACTTGTATCACTCTTAAACTGTTTATATTTTTTTTCTGTTTATATATTTTTTTAAATTGAACCCAGGCGTGGTGAGACATCCCTATAACCCCAGCTGCTGGGGAGGCTGAACCAGGAGGATCACAAGTTCAAGTCCAGCCTGGGCTACTTAGCAAGACCCAGTCTCAAAATTTAAAAAAGCTAAAAGGAGTTGGAAGATAGCTCAGTGTGAGTCCCTGAGCTTAGTCCCCAGTATAGTACTGGGTAGAAAAATTTTTGTTTTTACATACAGTGTTTCCTTCTTTG